ATAAAGTCGTCGGGGCGGAGGGGGCGGTGCGCTGGGGTGCTGGGGAGCGACACGTAGCGACACATGTCGACACATATCGACATATAGAGACATATATCGACACACACACACACATATCGACGCATAGTGACACACAGCGACACATAGCGACGCACACATGGAGACGCATAGCGACACACGGCGACACATATAGCGGCACATGAAGGGCACAAGGCACACAGCGACACATATAGCGACACATGAAGGGCGCAAGGCAGCTGGGGGGGAGCGACGGCGACGCCGAAATAAAGTAATCGGAACTCTAGACACCCTGTGCAAGAGAATAACGCAGACTATCACGAGGTTGCGGAAAATGGATTGGGACATTTGCTGTGCTTGGGAGAGGAAGTATGTGGAAGATGGGAGATCAATGCGTCCAGCTGGTGCCAGATCTTGCCCGCGAGCGCTCCCGAGGCTTGCATGGTAGGATTCGCCGCGGTGTCACCCTTAGCCTCCAACATCGGTGGTGGGGCTTGCTCGGAATCGCACTTCAATCAGCTGTAGCCCGGGAGGTCGTGTGATGTCCCCCTCCTCCTCCTCCTCCTCCTCCTCCTCCTCCTCCTCCTCCTCCTCCTCCTCCTCCTCCTCCTCCTCCTCCTCCTCCTCCTCCTCTTTGTGTGCTTAGCCACCCCCGGGCTACGCAAAAACATTTGTTTCACCCCAGTCCCGCTTAGCGATTGGCACTTGGAGGTGTGTATGCGGCGCTGCGCGTTGGGGGGGGGGGGAAATGAAGTGGGCGAAGTTCTGGATTCTGGAGTTCGCTCAGTGTTTCGTCAGTTCCAGGGGCCAGACCAGTAGACGAGATTAGGCGCGCAGCGTGGTTGAGTTCACCGAGTTGCACTAATCGTAAAATTTGTTCCATCTTAGTGGCTTCCAGGTCTTTGGGTGTAGTTTTGGTATGTTTGTGTTTGCGTTTGCCCGTGCTGATTCTAAGAGTTTATCCCAATGGCCGCCATCGAACCATAGTAGCCGTTGTTTTCGAGGCGTGTGGTGCAGAAGCAGCCACGGGAGTAGTATAAATAATGCCCAACCTTCTGTTGTGAACACTCTGTCGTTGTTATCCCCATACGATGCCTCCATTTCCACGAAGATTTGTGTAAGAATCCTGAAGTACTGATCACGTATGCACTTAGGGATCGATCTCATCGTCCGTACTGGAATCATAGTCCCACCAGCCCTCTGGGCGTCGGTGGTTTAGAGCGTTTCCTCTTCCACCCCTCCTTCTTCCCCTTCGGGGAGGGGTTTACCCCTCCCCCTACCCCCTCCCCACTGACCTGGACAGGGGGGGCCGCGGGTAGTTAGAGCGTCCAAGATGGCCCAACACGGCTCCAAGAGGGCTTCAGGGAGCTCAAGATGACCTTCAAGATGGCTCAAGATAGCGCAAGATGCCTCAAGATGGTCATGGTCCCCATGATGTTCCAAGACGCTCCAAGAGCTTCCCAAAACGGTTCCAAGTACTCACAAGAGCATCACTAGGATGCCTCCAAGAGGCCAAAATGCTTCAAAACCCTGGGGAAAATCAATGTTTTTGGTGTTCTCACTTTTTCGCTTGCGATGCACATCCGAGGCGTCAAAATGGCTCTAAGATGGCTCAAGATAGCTCCAAAAGGGGCCCAAGAAAGCCTCAAGACGGCGCCAAGAGCGGCAACGAACGCTCCAAAAACACCCCAAGAGGGGTTCAAGGAACGATTTTAAAGGCTCTACAAGGGCGACGCTAAAAAATGCTTCCGCTTTCTTTGCCAGATCCCCTCCAACATGGCTCTACCAGCGCCTCTGAGGCCTCCAAGAGCGCTTCAAGAGCGCCCCAAACGACGCCCGAGAGGCCCCCAATAGGCTCACAAGGTCGTCAAATATGGGCCAAGACGGCTCCCTGAGAGCCTCGGGAAGCCCAAGACACCTTCCAAGATGGCTGACGATTGCGCGACCTGCCTCAAGATGGCTCCGACGATGTTTCAAGACGTTCCAAGACTGCTCCAAAACGATTCCAACAGGCTGGCTCAAGATATCGCAACCTGCCTCAAGATGGTTCGGAAGATGTTCCAAGACGCTCCAAGACCGTCCCAGGACGATTCCAAGTGGCCATATGAGCTCTCCAGGATCTCCTTCCCCCTCGCCTACCTATTATTCCTCCTCCGTCATCCCCCTCCCCCTCTTTCTCCTTTTTCCACATCTTTACAATATTTCCCATAATTCTCTTCTTCTGTTCCTGATCGAGGCACTTCCTCTGGGCATCGTTTCTGGATGGGCTGGTGGGGTTACGCGAAGCGTCTAGAATTTCCGTTTGCAAATTTAACCCGTGGAGATGGCGCCATCCAGAGGGCACCCGGGCAATTCCGGGCGGTCTCCGTGATCGGATCGTTTATTGGGGTATTTGCGGTGGGGCAGGAAAGGGCGCAGGAGGATACGATTGTGGGGCAGGCGGGTGGACCACTACCAAGTCGTACAGAGTTTGGGATAAGTAGAATCGAGCTGCTGGGTTTCGGTAGAGATCCAATGCAAGCGCATTATACGTAACTTCGATACCCTTGATGGTCGTGTCCGCAGCGATAGCCCGATCCAAGACGTATTCTTGAAGTGGTATTGCCGTCCCCCCTGGTCGAAAATCGAAGGCCGTACGCGTAATCAACCATTCCATGAATCCTCCGTTGTTATGGACCCCAATTTGATTGAACACATTCACATATGCCTCAAATGCTTGCGTAAACCTAGAATCCATACCATGAGTGTTGAAATGAGTAGCCATGCCGCATGATCATATATATATATATATATTGCATTCGCCTTGTCGTCGTTCACCGCAGCCCACATGAGTGGGATATGGAAGTACGACCAATTTGTATCTAGGATCCGTGCCCGCACAATGTGATCTGGAAGACCCATCGGGATGCCATCCAACATTTGCAATACCATATGGACGGCAGAACTGGCAAGTCGATCAAGGAGAAGGTGGGGATAAGATTCCGCATTCATCATCGGCGTTTGTCGCGTCCCCTCCACTGAAAGAAATAGCGGAGGCGCATTTTGAGGAGGGTGGTTAGAAATCTCTCGCTGCGGACTTCCATCTGGGTCTTCTGGAGCCTCGGGTGCAACGACAGGTGGTATGGGAGGTTTGCCTGGGAATTCTATTTGAGACTCCAGAACGCCCCTATCACCATTAGCCTCTTCGTCACTAAGTTCGCTCATAATGTCAATGTCGCACGCAAGTCTCCCAGAGTCTTCCGCATGATCTCCCGTGTCGGTGCCCAATGCTGGAGGTAGTGGGGGTGTCCCGGGCTCAGGAGGGTGTGTGTGTGTGGTCACATGGGCCGAGTGCAGTTGCTTGAATGAGGGGGTGCGCTGGCAAACCCTCGATCGGGCCAGGGACTCCTGAAGTCGAACCCAATGGAGGTCTGGGGCCGAGACCTAAGATACCCAGAGCTCTATCCAATGTGGTCGCCCCTGAACCCACAACGGTCGGTACGTCTTCCCGTCGGTCCTCTGGAGGCGGCTCCGAAATTTCAGCACGACGGGGCAGTCCGGGCGGGGGAACGGGGGGCGGAACGGGGGAGTCATCACGTGGTAGATCGAGGGCAGAGGGGAGCGCAGGTCCATCAGAAGAATGCTTGATGGGAGTATGGGAGTTTGGTGGAAGTCCAGGTGGAGGGGTTAGCGGCGGGGGGTCAGTACGTCCGCCGCCGTCGTCAAAGAGATCGCCGGAAAAGCGTGGGGACAGGAGTGGAGAGGGCGGGCGAGGGCTGGGCGGAAATCTCGGGGAAAGAGGTGGGGTGGCGTACTCGCTCCGATCGTCGATCTCATGATCATCAGGTACTGATGAGGGCCTCTCGGGACCAAGAATTGGTGGTGGTCCAAGAAGCTCCCCCGTACGAGTGGAGCCCCGAGGTTCCGTAGGGCTTAGTACAACCCGGGGAGGTGGTTCGTAATCAGCCCTGCCTGGGGAGAGTGGCTCCGCGAGTCCATCGACGTGCCTTTCCGCTGGGGTTGCATGGTCGGGAGAGGGACGGGGAACAAAGATGGGGTGAATGAACGGGTAAGTGGTTATGGATGGAGGTGGAAGGGGCGGACCGTTTGGCACCGTAGTTGGTGGTTGCTGTTGAGTGCCATGCTGACGTCGTGAGTGCTCCCGATGTGGTGGATGTAATTCTCGTGGTGCTTGAAGTCGTGGTCACATGTTCGATTTGGAGCCGGGGTCGAAGCGAGGGAAAAATCACAGACGTCCCGTATTTTTTTTGGTCGCATGTCGATCGATGGAGAGCCACGTTCATCCATCGAGCCTCTCGATCCCACTTGCCATCACAACTCCAAGCAATCATAGCGGACATTACGATGTGCTCGGGAGCCCCACCTTGCCTACCGGAAGATACCGTGGTTAGGATTAGTAATTAATTGGAGCGGTCGGAGGGGCAATCGGAATGGAAACCGAAATCTGGGCAAAATCGATCAAGGGAAGAATGATTTATAGCCAAGGCAATCGTAGCGCTCATTGTTGTCAAGTCGAATCCGAAGTGCCCAAGGTAGTACAGCCGCTGTCATAACCGACCTCTTCGATCGCTTCGTCTTTCATCTCCTCGTCTTCTTGTTGCTCTCTATCCCTCCCGCTCTCCATCTCATGTACCGCCCTCCGTGCAAAATGGGCATGCTTATCGAGGCAAGTATCGTAACCATTCAAAATCGAGATCAGGTCTGCGAGAGGATCAGCAGCCAGAATCGGATCCCAATATCATCTAGGGTATTGCTTTGGAGTCGAAGCCGAAGTTAGCGCTATATGAGGGAGGCCTGCCCAGCGAGGAACGCGTTCAGGATTATATTGTTTAGTGTGTGCGGCGTGCTGAAACGCGTCGTCTAGTCTTCGCAGACACTGTAGCAATCGCCGCGCTGTTCTCCCACTGACCCCTTCCCTGGCACCGCAGCTGCTTTGGCTCGAACGCTTTCGCTGGCGCGCTGCTTGGACCCCGCAAAGCCCGATGCCGAAAGCTCGCGCCCCTGGCTTGCTCGGGGCCGAGCGCCCGCCCGTGCCTCTCAAGGCGTGGCAGCGGCAGATGTGCGACGAGTGGTTCGAGACGAACGCGGCGTTCGAGGCGCGCGTCCTTCATAGGCGCATCGTCATGCCAGATGGAATGCACGATAGCCCTGCCATCAGAGCAGCAGCTGTGTTTCTCCGTTACGGCGTGGCCTGCCAGCCCGCAGCTTGTCCAGAATGCGACGGGGGCGCGAAGCTGGAATCTAAAGAGGACGGGGGAGGCGGCTGGAAGACCCTCCAGTGGTCGTGCAAGTCCGTCGGCCAGAAGCATCCCCAGCTGAAGATGAACAGCCGCGGTTTCCTGCAGCAGATCCCACTCAACTCGTGGATGCCGTTATTGCACTTCGTAAACTACCTTCGCCCTGGGAGGCACTACGCGCGCATCATTGAGGAGACGCAGGCGGTGCGCGGCAACATCGGCGAGAAGACCGCGCGCAACTGGCGCCGCATCTACCAGGAGTCTCTCGGGAAGGCGCCGGCGCCCCTGGACGCGATCATGATTGGCGGTGCAAAGGGGGGCGCGGTCGCGATGGGCGAGACAGCGGCGGGCGCGCGCCCGAGCGACGGGCGGTCGTTCCAGACGAAGAGCATCAGTAAGAGCGGGGGGGGCACAGCACGGGCAACGCCGCAAAGAAACACGAAGCAGTTGGCGCGGAGGGGCGCCCTGAAGAAGTTGCCCGCTCGTACCTTTTACAACGCGCAGAAAGTTGTCAAGGGGCCATTCCAGCTCGTCGACAAGAAGAATGCACCGACGAAGACGACCAACAAGGGGAAGAAGCGCGCCGCGAAGCAGACCGCCAAGCCAGCAAAGAAGACGATCGGCAGGAAGAAGACGCCCAATAACCAGGCGTTGAAGAAACGACCCGCTGCTAATTTGAAGAGCGACGGAAGGCGGCTCTGGCTTGGCATCCTCGTCGGCAACAAGAGCAAGGTGCACGCGCGCGCGAGCGAGGAGAAGATGGCCACTTATCGTTTGCTGCCCTGCGCGGCGGACGCGCAGGAAAACGAACCCAGAGGGTTCGAAGAGATCAGGGACACCGCGCAGTCGCGCGCCCGCAAGGGAACAATGGTGGTGTACGACGGGTGGACCTCCACTGATTCCGCGGCCCAGGAGATGGGCTACGAGCACCCCCCGCCTGTCCGCCACGAGGGGAACGCGCGCCGCGACAAGGATACGGGCTTCCACACCAACGACGCTGAGAGCGAGAATTCCAAGCTTAAGGCGTGGAGCCGCTTGCGGCACGGGAAGCTGAACATCGCCCCAGGCGACGTGGACGAACACATCTACTACATCAACGTGGGCAGCGGCATGGGGGACGCCCTTACTGGCCTGGCGCACTCGAACGATTTCGTCGCGAAAAACAAGCTTCTCGGATGAGCTGCGGGCGGCGCGGGCCAGAAGCATGTATTATGAAGCGGCTATGACGACCGAGGCAAACAGAAACATGCACGCGCTCTCATATTTGCATCACCGTGCGTTTTTATCTAAAAAATCATGGGTGCGGGGATGCCCGAGCACCCGTATATATATACACATCCAAACATATTTACATATATATATATACATGTCGTCTGGAAGGACGTCGTGTGTACGCAGATTTCTCCGATCGTTGTCCCATATGCACAGTGGGCTGATCCACGCAAGTCCCACTCGGTCGTATCTACATTGATTCGTGGTCGGCAAGATGCCCATGAACTGGACGATGCGGGTCGGCGGAATTCTACTGCCCCGACCTGCCGTCATAACAATATCATTTGCTGAGCGCCAGATTGCCATATTGTCGCGAAGTCGGTTTTTCAAACTTAGCATAATCAATACTATCTCCAAGTAGAAATGGACATCCGTGGACAAACTGTCTGCCCCTTTTATAACCAGTGTCATCAGCGCGGCATGACAGCCCAGCATGAAGTATGTTCGGGATATTAAGTCGAAAACGCACTGGTAAGCCAAGATATATGTTCCGCCTTAGGCGCTCCCATATCCCAGGCTTTGGCTCATACCGCATGAGCAAGAGAGCAAGATGAAGCATGGGATCTGGAGTAAAGGATAGAAGGGGCATCTTCAATAGAAAGGTCTTTTCCGATTTCAGATGCGAGTAGTGCGCCTCGGTGAGGCACAATCACATGTTCGGCCGGGCCCGGCTTGAGCCAGGCACGGCAGCGGTGCATGCTCGATATACATCTCGCCTTTAACCCTCTCCGTTTAAAGTTGGAGGGGGAGGAGACGAGCAAGCACCGCATTTCTTCATTACGCGGAAAAACAGTGCTAGGCAACAGCGGCTGCCTACAAGGCAAGGGCGCGCGAGTAGCCTCGCTACCGGCGAGTTTCCTCGCTACTAGAGCGCACCTGCATGCGGGTTTCCCCGCCAGCTCGGGAGGCAGGGCCGTCCTGAGACGACCTGCCCGCCCTATACGGAGTATGTTTCTTCAGCTCGTGCTTGAAGGATTGCTGACCGGCCATTACCTGTAGGAGCAACGCGCGGTCAATACTACCTTTGGTATGACCATCGGCAGTCATATCCCGCGTGTCACACCATTGGACGCTTTCAACGATTCCGCGCTCCATCATCTGGCGGATCCAGCTAATGTGCCCAAGCAGAGTGCATTCTGTGGGCTTCTTCAGATCTTTGCTGGACAAAGACTTGAAGACAGACTCGGCATCAATAGTCAGAGCGACTTTGATACATAGACCACCCAGTTCCAATATGTTCTTCAACTGTGCGGGGGTCAATGGTCCCGAGTGTAGCTCGTGGAGCGTTACAATGGTCGGGTAGCAGTCTTCCAAGTTGTGGGCTGCTGCCAGTGTTTCCGCAGAGTAGCTCGAACGCACCTGCAGTCGATGAGACTTGCAGTATGCGCCCACCAGGTGCACGACGGGTTTCCCCGCTTGCGTGTGGCCACGCCTCAGCAGGTTGGCCCCGCGGATACCGTAGCCTTTGACTTCGTCGTCTTCATCTCCGTTGAGACGACGATAGCCAGAATCGCTATGCAGGTCGACCTCTCCTGTTGGAGTCATAGCTTGATACACGATATTCTTCGGACCTGCCTGCAATTTCCTGGTAACCGCGTTCAGTCGTCGTACCTGGATGTTGTCGGTTCCTGGATACGTTGCAGTGAGACAACATAGACCATCAGCCATACCTGCGTGATCAACGCATAGGCTAGAGCGCCACGAAGACTGACGAACATATCAGAAATCGTCTTTGTCGCTTTGCTCTCAGGATCAGCGCCTGTGAGTTCTGGATGTGTGATAGGACGAAGTTGTTTGATGTATTCGTCCTGATCAAGAGTGACGCTCCCATCATCGGTCTTGTTGTACCGAACGGCACAGTTTGTGTATGTGTGCTTGTTCAGTTTGCACTTTCCAAACGTATCTTCAACACATTTGACGTACTTGTCAATAGAATCTTCCTTCTCAGTCATATTGATGTCATCAGCGTGTTTGGCTGTCAAGAGGTTTGAACTCATCTCGAACTCTTCATCGTATGAAGTAGGCTGTAGTCCAAAGCTCCTAGTGATGGACCTGAGCTTCAACGAGAATGCCCTGGGAGCATCCATCGTGCCAGTCCCCGGCTTCAGGCGCCGAAGACAATGCTTTGATTCGTCATGTGACTCAAAGCCTGGCAATGTGCGAAGGACAGCTGCTGACCCAGGAGGTAGTGTGAAGCACACCACACGCTCTTTCTCGCCCGTTGCCGCGGCGAGCTCGCTATAGGTCAGTCCCTTCAAGAAAGCCATGTTGATGTCCAGGGAAGCGATGATCCAAGCTTTGTTGCATGCAGCAGAACTTGCGAGCAGTCTCTGGTTTGACCTCCTTGCCGTGCCAGAGAAGGTTTCGACATCAAAGGCTTCAATGTCCATGAAGCCACGGAGTACCAAGCGTAACCTGATCGTCCGTTCCATTTCGCCCTTCTCGTTCTTGACAAACTTCCATTTGTATACATAGCGTGAAGTCATGATGTTCGACGCTTTGCTCAAGTCAGTCATCTGGAAGCATTTGTTGTCAAGCCAAGTCTTCAATTCTGTGTGAAGGGCTTTGGAAACTTTGACCGGATTCGCTTGAATGTCGGCCTTCGTGAGTAGATCGTCTTCCTTGACGACCGCGGCACGTTTGGAGGCAGCACTAACATATACTCGCATAGTTGTGACGCTGCTGTCATCCAACAATCGGCGTTGCTGCTCGGACAGGACGACTTTGGACATGTCTGCTGTGAAGCAAAGCTCGATGTACTTCCCGTGCTCGTCGGAATCCAGATCATATTGGCTGTCCGGATCCGTGGAGCACAAAGGAACGTAGTAAGAAGTGTCCATGTCGTATCCTGGCGGGTGACCCCGCACCGGCAAGTGGCCTTGCACATCTTCACAGGTCGTAGAGACCAACGCGCACTGTGAGTCTGTCATGTATGTCGGAACTGTATGCATGACTTCTTCTGTGTCAGCTTCAAGGAGTGTTCTGTCACCCATCAGTTCAGCATACCACGACTTCAAGACAAAGACATCCAGATCTTCTTCTGTTTCCTCTATGATGGTCGGGAGCCGACCATCATTCTCCGCAGGAGGCTGCTCAGGAGCAGCTGCTGGAGGTGGCTCGCTTGGTGGTGGACCATCAGCGAGTTCCTCAAACTTAGTGAGGTCTCGGTCGAATCCAGCAGGCGGCTTCTTGGATTTAAGACACTGGATGATGCGTGAATGTGTAGATCCTGTGATGTCGTAGATGTTCAAGGCAGTGCCATCAGCTTCATAATAATGAAAGCCAGGGGTCACATCGTTATCATAGTGCACTAGTGTACAGCTGTCTGCATAGGGTGCAGCAGGCAACTTAGTCAGGCTTTTAGCAAGTCGTACAGCAACCACGTTTTCAATGCGAAAATAGTTGCGAATGAGATACTGAAGAGCCAAGTGCACCTTAGGCGAAAGCCGGCTCGCAGCAGTCATCTGCAGCCGGCCCTGTTTCGCTGGTAGGTATCCGAAAGTCATGGCGGGTTTCCCCGCTGGCAGACCGGCAATAAAGGCCAATGCTGTCCGAAGGGCCGTATTGTCCGATCCTATCTCGCGGACCATCAGTGCTTCGATGTACAGCGTATGTCGTGTGTCAGGATACTGTACTCGCACTTCGCGACTGCCGACCTTCACGATGACCTGACCTCGGTCAGGTTCGTTGCGGATGACCGGGTATGGACCACTCCATCCACCCCAGTCGTCTTTCGTGGTGGTCGGGCGATGATAGTCCACGAGATCTCCCTCTTTGTAGTGAAATTCACCCGTAGCAGTAGTCTTCGTACGGAGAGCCCTGTTCGTCTTGGCAACCGCAGTGGCCTGCGTGATTGCCTCCAGACTAACCCTCCTGATTGTCTCTTCCCTTGAGTGATCTGATGATTCAGCGGACTGATCATGATCCAGGACAGGGAAATCGGGAAGCATAGCTGGTTGTCTGCCATACAGCGCACTATACGGAGACACTTCGTTGTAGAAGGTAAATGCGTTGCTGGCAAACAAGGCCTCATGTAAAAAACGAATGAAATTCAGAGGAATATTCAATCTATTCAATTCTTCTCCCATCACGTGTATGAGGTGTCGCAGGATGCCGTTCCTAGCTTCGATAGTCGTGGCGTGTTGGCCACGCGCTCGGATACGAAGCTCTGTTCCCTTGGATTTAAGGATGGCCTTTGCTGTATCGTTATTCAGTGCTCCTTCCCCATCGGAGTATAAGATCTTAGCAGGGCCATGTTGCATCCAAGTTGTGTGATAGGCATCGAGAACAGCGTGCATAGTCTTATCAGGAATCTCTGTGCCAGCTGCCCAGCGAATACAACGGTCGATGATGTGAAAAACAATATGTTCCTGTTTGTAAAAGAAAAGATCACATTCGACTTCCTCGTTGAAACGTCCTGGCAGTGACACAGAAGGCATCACCGTGTTGCCTGGTTTGTCCCAGGCACGACATTCTCTACGCGAGTCGCAAATGCCTTTGATCAGACTCAAACGGGTTTCACCCAGACCAACCTTAGCTAGAATCATCCGCATCTTTGGTTCCTTAGCATGAAACCATCTCAAGTGAAGCTTGCGGAGTTCTCGCTGCACTACAGCTGGGTCAAAGCTTCGCAGGTTTTGAAGGCTGAGCTGAACGTCGAAGCGAGTCCAATCAGGGAGCCTTGGCCTTGGCCTCGGCTCTGCGTGAGGCTGCGGCGGCGGTGGAGGATCACCTCCCTCCATGCGTCCGCGCCTTGCTGCCACTTGCGGCAGTCTGCGGTGATCGTCAGAGCTGCCAGCGCCAGTGGTGTTACCATGAGCCCCCTCGGCCCTGGCGATGTCATGGCTGCTGGCGCCTGCGGCTGGATCGCCCTCACCGGGCCGTGGCGGCCTAGGCGCGCGTATGCG